CTTCAATACCTTCCTTCTTATTTTCGCACTCTCACTATTCCTACCATCCACAGCCTTATCATCTTCAAGAAGTATTTGAATGTGCTGATGGGAGAATTATCTTCGATAGAATAAATGAAATTCAATGGCTAACAGCTGAGAAGATGATGATGAAATGCTAGTGGTATGTGTCAATGATTATCTATTCAAGCGTGCTGAAAGTGTAGGTGAAATTTGTTTACATGGATTTTTTCTTTTCTTGTTCAATAATGCTAGAAGTCTAAATACTATGAAAATGAATTATTGAAAATAGTTTCGTTTTTTAGCTTTGCTGCTGAGAAAACATTTCCAATGGCATTGTTCCGTTTATTCACGGATGATTTTGATTGTTGAGGGTGGACTAATTTTGCATATTCTAGAATAAGAAAAGCATTCACTTTATTATAGATTACTTTGATATACTTGCCGTGAATAGCTTCAACGATATTGGTTGAAATGGATGACACTCTCATGCTACAACGTCCGTCTTCTTTTGGATATAAATACTTTGTAATGTGTCCGCATGTTTTGGTAATATCGAATTTATCTCTACATTTTTCCAACACGGCTCGGTCGAGTTTCAACGTGATACAAATTTGTTTAATTTTATCTTCTGTTACATTATGTTCAAAATTGTGGTGTTGTTTCAAAATCTTGCTCATCTCGATGAAGTAAGCTGTGGCCTCAGGATCCGGTCCATTTAAATATTATCAAATATAGGTTTTGACAAGCGATGACCTACCTTGGCATCCAGTCTGTCTGATAATATTTGATTTTTTTACGTAATTTTTCATTTTCAGCGAGCAGGTCTTTGTAAGATTTCTTTGCTTTTGGATTTCCGGGCAGTTTTCTTTCTAGAAAACAGATAAGAGTTCATTTGTATTTCTTGTGATAGTATAAATCTTATAACTTATGCTATGTGGCAGATAGAACAAACGAATAACTATATGTTTCGATGAAGTTTTTGTTGTTCAAGAGATTATTCAATTGTAAAAGAACAAAGATCGTTTCTTGCTTCAAGCTCTCAAATGAGGACATTATCGACTCATCTTTCCCCAAATGGACGTTTCTAATTATCGGTCATATCTGAGGATATTATATTGTTCTTAGAAGGGAAAATGATCATCAGCATTTCACAAAAGCAATAATTTAAACCTTCTGATAGAGAAATATGTATAGACATCACATTTCAAGCCATCTAAAATAAATACAATTCATCTGTTGTTGTTATCTCACGAATCAATGTAGAAAGAATTTGTATCTGCCTCTAAACTTTTTGTGAATCAATATTCATAGCTATTGAAACTGAAATAGACGCTGGTGAATCATTAACAATAATAAGTAAGCATCCTTCCTTTCTCGGATGTTTGACTTTTCATTCAAGCCTTCAATACCTTCCTTCTTATTTTCGCACTCTCACTATTCCTACCATCCATCAAAATACCCAAATGAATTTCGTGAAAATCGCAATTTAAAAGCACCAAAGAAAAAACACAATTCTCCAAACTCTCGAATACTTACCATTATTAACCAAACCATTCATTTTACGAACAAATGAATCCATAGTATCACTAAATTAGAGAACGGAATTTTATTTTAGTCGCTTCACCAAAATTAATTCATACCCTTCCGGAAGTACAAACTTATTACTTTTTTTCTTCTTCCCTGGAACAAAATTTGTAATTGTTCCACCAGCATTTGTCTCCTTTCGCTTTTGCGACATGACAAAAAAAACAACTATTTGATGAAAACTATAATAGAGAAATTAGTTTCTACCGCAATCGACACAATACACAGCAACAACGATTATGATTAGTAGTATGCGATCTGGTGAAAAAAAGCATAGCTGGAAATGCCAATCAATGTTGAAATGCAGTTGTAAAAAAGATGTTCACATCAGAAAAAACTTTTATCATAGAAATTAGTTAGGACTTACCCTCTTTTAAAATACGTTTTTATTTAAAAAAAAAACCAGTCTCCATGGATAGATGGCGTCAAATTACGGTGGCAATTTCGCATGAATTATATGTAGCGTTTAATAATGATATATTCTGGTATATCTTGACTCGAAATTTTAAACCCTTTTATTTGTTTTTATCTATTTACAGAATAGTTTTTATTGAAGCTCCAACGAATTCTTTAATGAGAAAAATATGTTGCAAATTTGTCCCATTGTAATATTTATATCTTTTTATTAATAACAACAAATTGACATGAAAATAGATTTATCAATAAATATATGAAATACAAAAAAAGAAAAAAATGTAATAACTATGTATATGTGATATAATATCAAGTTATATTCGCAAAAGAAAAAAGTTGTTCACAAAGTCGTTAGTCGCTACATTCATTCTTCAATATTCTAAAAAAAATACAAACAATTACGATATTTAACATACGTTCTAATAAAAACTTACAGTTAAAATTTAAAGGTGGTGGTGTATTGTTCTCGAATGAATCATAATTCTCTTTTCTTATAACTTGTTGACTATGAGCTTTCTTTATTCTAAATGTTAATGGAGTTGATGTTAACGGTTGTGACAGAGGTGTTGTTGAAGGTGAACGAATATTCTAAAATAAAACATATGATAATTGTAGTAAAATGTGTGCTGTCAACTTACAAATGATGATTCAGAACCAATATTAGACGACTTTATTGTTTTGAATTGTATTATTTTTATTCTTGAGAGTCCCATTTGTTGGAATTCGCTTAACTTAAAAAAGGAATAACAACAGTTAATTCATGAGAATTTTTTGAACTTACAGATCTATTAATGGTGTTGTTTCGTTTTTCAGATGCAACCGATTTTTCTTTAGTTTTGTCATTAAATCGATTCGAATGGCTATGATCAATGTTTGTTATTGAGCAACTGTTACTATCAGTACTTTCCCAGTCAGCTGTTGATGATAAAGATTCTTCTGATGACTGATACAAGTGTGGAAAATCATCATCAGTATTTTCAGTATACGACGAACAATTCTATTAAAAAAATGGTATTCACCAGATCAATCAATAATAAAAAAAGAACACTTACTGATGCGAAGGAACTTTGTGATGCTTTTCCATCTTCTTTGTCTATGGAATCTATAGTATTAAAATCATAGGTGCTTTGATTGAAATTAATATCACGTGTTACATCGTTCAGAAGAATTTCACTTAGGTTACAATTTTGCGAACTCTAAAATACAACAAAAACAGATAAGATGTTTTTTAATACAAAAACCTACCGAGGCATGTGTTCGATTTTTACATTTCTCTGCTGAACATTTACATAAAAGAGTGCAAACAACATTATTTTTTCCGCATACACAACGATTACAATTTCCAAAACATTTGCCACAAACTGATAAACGATGATCTAATGGAATTGAATTCTTCGATAGCCACTTAATTTTAATTTCATTTTGTATGACTTCATAACCTTCATTGTTTTCAATAGATTGTATTGACATATCAGATTGATATGCTTGAAACCATATTTGACTTTGTCGTGCAACTCGTTGACAATGAAAATAGAAGGCATTGGATGAGGGCGGTAGAGCTAAAGCAATACACGATGATCGATTATCTTTAAATGCTGTTGATGCCATTATTGCTCTATGTTCGTCAAGACTTGATGGAGTATATTTTAATGAATAACTATCTAATAATAAACGTTCAGCAGTTGATATTGCTTCATCTAAAATAAACAATAAAAAATAATAGTTATTTTGAAAAAAACAAAAAAAAACTCTCAGAGAAATATTGAATACTACCATTTATCTGGTCAAAGCAAAATGTTTAGGACGCAAACTTAAAATTTAGTTATTAATACTCACTGGATAATGGAAAAGAAAAAAAGTCATTGAGACGTGAATATCGGCTTGGATTCGAAAAAAATGTTCGAAAAATGTTTGTTTTGGAAGTGTTTCTCACAAACGACGTTGTGTCACAGCCTGATAAAGCATGAATAACAATTAATATAATTGGATCAACAGAGCGTTTTTCTTTAATATTAATAGAAATTTCACGAGTATTGATAAATATGTCAAACTTTGCATTTGTATTAAAAGATTTAACGTATATATTGTCGACGTCCAAATATAATCCATGTGATATTGCCAATAAAGCGATATCAGCATCACTTGATTGGAATGCAACTGATTTTATATTTTCGAAAGATATTGCATGTGCGTGAATAAACGACCTTGTACATGCATAAATGTGATTGGAGACGAGTAAGTAATCTTCAGTTGGAGCATGGTTTTTTCTTAATGTAACAGATGAATCATCAGGCCCAGCAATAACCAAAATTTTTCCAGTTGGAAGTGTTTGAATATATGCATCAGTACACCAACACTCTCTTACACGAGCAGCAACAACAGCTGGGTTATTTTTTATCAATTGTTGATAATCCGAACAAATAAAATCATCACATTTAACCTCATATGAACATGATATTGTTGCACTTGTACGATTTGATATAAAAGATTTTTCTTTTTGACTTTGACGAGAATTGAAGACGATATCTATTCGATCATAACGATAAAAGTTATACAAAATTATCTGAAAAAGAAAAAAAAAGATAGTCTAAAATTGCTCGTCTTCTTCAAACTGACCATTTTCAGTAATTGGTTTGCGTAGTGGCGTAAAGTTATATTTTTTCCGGCGGGTCTAATTTGAAGAAGGCTTGCCCCTTCTATTATCACAGCTTGTGGTCCAACGATGCATGGAGATGAGGAAGAAAATGATCTAGGAAACTCACTTTTAATAAAATCGATAACTGAGCATTTCTTTTGTTGATTCATTACGTCGTAGTTGTGTAGATCACATAAAGATAACGGAGCATGACTGAATTCAAATGAAAATATTGATGATAAGGGTATTTTTCTTTGTTCACCAATAATAAGCTGAGTTCGCATAAGTCTGTCGATTGAATGAAGACTTTTGGATAAATCTTTCGACTGTTGGTTCAGCAGATGATTTTTCTTTGAACGAAGTTGTTGTCCAGGTACGTATACATCAGCATCCGAGAATTCTAAATGGAGACATTATGAATGACAATATATTCATAAGTACAAGCACTCACTCAAGATATACATGGCTTTTAATGGTTCTTCAACATCCAATGTTTTGTCAATTAATCGATCTTTAATATAAGCTAACATTGCTTGTTGACCACGAGTGAAACAACTAGTAATATTGTTGATGATGTCGTCGTGAATGATCTTTCCGGATAACATTTTTCTAAATTGAGGGGCCTTTGACAAGAATATTGCTTCTTGTTTAAACTTCATCAGCAAGAAGTTTAATTCTTGATTGTCTTTTGCTTGTCGTGTGGGTGTGCATTCAATGTGAGAATCAATAGTATTTTGTTCCGTTTCTATTTCACATATTTCATGAAGTACACTTGTTAATGTTGCACGAAAAGAAAACGAGTTTGTCCAAGTGTCGATGGTATTATCGGTAAACGTTCCGCTTATACCGCCATGCCCTTTACCATGTTTGTTAATTGAACATTCGATGGTTTGGTCAAGAGCTATACCTAAAAACAAAGAAGCGTATATGATTAATTGTGAACGGAGTTTGAAAACCTTACTAGAAAATGGTCTTTTGCTTCTGACGACTGCAAAAGACTTGGATAATCTGTCGAGCAAATAGGTGCTTGCATTTGTTAGATCATATAAGTGGTGAGCACAAAGACGCGCGTAGTTTCTGTGATTTGTACTAAAAAAAATGGGTCCTAGTTTAGCAACACATGAGTTTCGTAAGTTAAAGTTTGAAGTTCTAATTGCACAATATAATGTAATTAAAGGTTCTAGTAAATCATGCAAAATAAAGTACCAAAATTGGAAGGATAAGGAAGTCTTTGCTTCGCTTTTTGCCCAAGTTGAAACCTTTGATAATAAATTTTCTTGTTCAATAGCAGTTATCAAGCTTTTGAACCAGGTTTGTTTAATTGCATCGACATTAAATTCATGAGGTATATTTTCAAAAATTAAACGAATAGCAGAAGGTAAAAAAGAATAATTCGAGGTAGACGTTGTGGTTGTGTTGGATGTTATATATGATTCTATTAATAGCATCTTTAGTGTTGTATATAGAAGCTTGCAGCAACGAAATGATTTGTTAAAATGGAAAACATTAAATATTGACTTAAGCGTTGCCCCTTTATAAATAAAACTTAAAATATCTTCAATGCCAGACCCTTCCAGTATTTGCCACATGGCGATCATCGTTGTTTTCATTAGATGAAAGTCGCCGGGATAAATAAATATATTATTAACTCTAGTTGGATTATTACGAATTACCTAAATTAAAAAAAAATACATCTACCGTTAAATAAAAAAACATCTACATACCTTGATGCAATTGTGGTATAATTTTTCATCTACGACCAATACAGCTTCTTTTTGGTAGTTTGATTCAAGTAGAAGGGTTTTCGTTTCACTTAAACAATTTTCTGTAGTTGCTATATCATTTGGATTTTGTTTGATGGGTGTACAAAATGTTAATGAATGAAAAGATCGCATTGCCAATGTTAAATGTGTTGAAAAAAATCCAGACAAAATAGGAAAACGTATCACTTTGGATAAATTTAATATTCCATTTTCATTAAGCAATGGATAACATTTAGAAAGACAATACGCAAATAAACTTGAATCAAATGAAGAATCTAGATAAGACCCATAATGACAATGAATCGATTCTTTTGATGATATAATTGTAGTAGTTGTAGGTGATAAGAAATTTGAGGTGCATATATGATCAATCATACTATTAATAAGGTCTTTGGTAATTATAGGAACTTCATCATTTCTAAAGTAAAGAAAAAAAAGTCATGAAATAAACTCAATAAACGTTTACTCTGATGTTTGAATAATAATTTGATTGAGCATATGGAGACTATTTTGATCATGAAGAGTGTCTTTATTCATATCAAAATTATCTGCTACCTTAACAGCAAATTCATGTTTAATCCCACAGGATGATTGTTTCCGTTGTTTAAG